TCAATATTACTTCCCTGTGGGACAGAGCAGCATTTAATATATTGGACTATCATTTTATGTGGGTAAGATGAAAGGTTTTACGATAAATTTTTTACAGTGTAGTTTGTGTAGTCTCTCTGCATGAAATCAACCAAGTCAGTCAGAGTAATGATATAAATCTGTCTCATGTAAGGAATTTTCCTTTAGTACAGAAAGTGTCTTTGTTGTTTTTTTTCACCATTATTTAACCCTGTATGTGCAGTAAAATCAACATCCCTTTGAAATAGCCCTTAGCTGTAAAGCAGGAGCCTTGACTTGACAGCTACACTCATTATTTTGCAATCTGATGACTTGAATGCCAGGGGAGGCTAAGAGCTCTTCTGAGTTTTGCTCCATTGAAAGAGCTTCCCCTAAACATACGAGAAGTAGGCAATTTCCTCTGGCAGCAGACTTCTATATATGACAAAACATGACCTCTGCGCTGCCTTGCCTATGTCCCAGGTGCCAAGATCTGTTAGTGGGGCTGTGGTCTATAGAGCAGTAACTACTGCAGCTGTTTTTGCCATCAACATCCACCAGCATGGCCCATTCCTTCCCACACCTGAGGTGTCAGGAAGAGCAGTAAGCGTGACTGTGTTGGAAGTCTCTCTGTCTGGGCTTTCCTAACAGCTCATCTTGGATCCTCTTCCATGCCTTACTCCTTGCTCTTGAGGCAGCAAAACTCAATCTTGTCTACATTTCTGAGAAGCTCGGAGATCTCTGCTAGAACTTATTAAGAAAACAGTCTGCAGGACGAGCCAGATCTAATGCTGCTGTGTATTGCCAGAACAGTGCAAAATGTTTGAAATAGGAACCTTTCTCAACTGAATCTAGAACTACAGACCTAAAACATTTGAACAAATATTTACCCTTTCTACACGCTGTGCCACTAATTTGACTAGTCCTTTGGAATTTCTCCGACCAAGCACCTCTGCCTTTTAACAAAAAACATCAACCTCTGCTGCCCTACTGCTTTTGGGCCATGGTCTGGTTCCCTCAGTGGTGCAATAGGACTAGTTAAACAATTCAGGTAGAAGTCAAAGATGCTCTCTCCTGATTTTAAGTAGAACATTATGATATTGACCCAATATATATCATTTCAATGATAAACTCAAGATATATTTGTCACAGTGCAAAGAAGACTGATTACTTTTTGTGGTTGCACCGCTGAGCACTGAGTTCTGCAAACCCAGCTGCTATATCTTGATATAATATGGGGTCCCTTATGCTGTGTATGCTGAGCACATACACTGTGCTCCTCTCAGTTCCAGTTCACTGACACTGTCCTAGTTCCCAATCCCAGTTCTCCCAGGACTAGGGGACTTGCTGGAACATAGCATTGCTCCATCTCTGTCCTTTCAGGCTGGATTTTCCTTTGAAGTAAACCAGGCACTGGACAAATGATAGGAAATAAGACCTATGTGTCAACCCTGGACTCAGGAGGTGGTCCTAGGAACTGTGAGGTTTGTAGGTCCCACAAATCCCTATAACCCTAATGTTTATGGAAAGCATCAGAATTGAAATTTCCCCAGTTTTGTTCAGCCCTTGATGACAGAACTGTGTCTTCTCTATGCCTATAACCTCCTCAGTAAATGAATGGTGCAATTTGGAGGAGTGATAGCTCTGTTTCTGATCACAGATGAAAGAGACTTAGCTATCACTCACAGTTTTACTTGCACAGCTATCTTTATGTACTTATATGTTTACCTTTGCCATAAGGGTGTAAATGTCACATGAGTGTGGCATTCTTTTCCAAGCGGACTTCTGTTTCCCAACAATGAACTCACTTAGCTTTCTTTTTCTAAAACATACGTAAAAAATAGTGGAAAGCAATTGTTGGGTTGCTCAGTATCATTCAGAAAGAGATTTGGCAGGACGGACTCTCAAAATTCTGAGAAAAGCACAGGTTAAGAACTGAAAGACAAAATTTTGTAGAAATTGAAATATAAAAAATGATAGCTTGTCTGCTCTGTCATAACCAAGGATGTCAGCTAAACAGACACTTTGACAGCAATCATTTGCATTTTTTGCAACTCAAAACTATTATTTGATAAATGATTGTTAGAAGGAATTAAGATCTCACATAATCACTTGGATCTATTTTTTGTTTTTAACTATTTCCCATCTAGTTCCACCAGACCAGCCTAGACTTACTGTATCCAAAACTACATCTTCCTCTATCAGTTCTATCCGAGGTAATAGAGTTCAGGTTAATTGCAACTTCTTACTAAATTATCATATGTTGATAGGATTAATGTACAATTATGAATGGCTGCAAAAAAAGAAAAACAAAGCAATATATATTGCTGACTACCTAATGCATACTATTGTGGTGATAATAGCTTTCAGGAAATTGCAGTTTCTTTTCGTTGTGGTTTAATCACAGATTCAAATCACTTCTTTTCTAGTGTTGTTATGACAGTTACTCTGTCTGATTTTCTAGACATGTACTTTCTAACCATACATTTTTGAGGGTCCAGGTTCATCATTTCATCTTTGTTGCTGATTGAGAGGTACGTAGAAATGTCTATCCCTTTCTTTTGTCTTTGGAGTTATCGTAAAGATGATATTTACACTGCAGTAAGGATAGGCAGTGTGTGTATTGTTTGGTATGCTTTAGTTGGGGGAGAGCTGTATTTATGCATAGGACTTTCCTGTTTTTATGAGGTCTTTAAAATGACTTGTCGTATTACCTGTAGAATTTGTAGTTAGCGTCTGGTTTAACGTTGCTCTCCGTGCTTTTCCTGCAGGCTATATTTTGCAGTACTCTGAAGATAACAGTGAGCAGTGGGGTAGTTTCCCTATTAGCCCTAGTGAGCGGTCCTACCGTTTAGAAACGTTGAAGTGTGGCACTTGGTACAAGTTTACATTAACTGCTCAGAATGGAGTGGGGCCAGGACGCATCAGTGAGATCATTGAGGCCAAAACCCTTGGAAAAGGTAGGCTGATTTCCATCCTTTTTTTTTCTCATCTAAAGCTCATGTACATCTATACATCTTGCCTCGATTGAATATGTCTTTGATTAATTTAATACTGGCCTTAAAACCATTTATGATTGTGTCCATGTGAGGACCGAAGAAGATGTCACTGGTACTCAGAATGCAAACTGAGTTACAGTTGCACAAAAGAATGTTATCCTTTGCTTATTTCCCTAGTAATTTTATTCTAAGATGGGTTGATAGGTCTTCAAGGCAGGAGGCTCATGTCTTCACTATTACAGATCATAGCAATTCCTACTACAGCTGTTGACAAGAAATACTGTTTTCCTCTCCTGGTGTAAAAATGTAGGGTTTTATTTATCTGGCCGCCGAAGGAAGATTGGAAGTACATTAATGCATAGTACAAATGGAACCAATACTTCATTTCCCCTTCAAGCTGGTATTGCAGAAGCCATGCAAATAGAACACTTAGAGCAGGATAACACCTAAAAATAAAGGAAACATTTGCAGAAAGTTCTGCAAGGAAAAGGGAGGATTCATAAGGAACACAGTGACATAAAGTCACAAATCCTCTGCCCTTTCAGTGGCTCCTGTCATACTGGCTGCTGAGGGTGCAGTTCCACAGTGTGTATGTGTCACTGTTAAGAACAAATTTGTCAGCAGACTTAAAGAGGCATTTTTGAAAGTCTCACCAGTAAATTCAAAAATTCAAAAATTGTTGCATAATATATTGTTGCATTTCTCCTTGCATCTCTTCACCCTGGTTGTAAGAAATACTCTGATTTGGAACCTCTTTCATAATAAAGACAGTGCATATGTCTGTCCATCATGTTCTTCATCAGACCTGTCCCCCTGCTGATCTCCAAAGCATCACAGCAGTGTGGACATCTTATTTGATACTCAGCGGCATAAGGAAGCCCTGCTATGCAGATTGGTGTGACTTGTTGAAGCTCAGAGGACTGCAGATCACTGGTGTGCAGGCTGAGATATCAGTTGCCAGGGAGGATGATCTGCTTGCTTTACAGAAAGAGTCCTTTAAAGAAGAAGATGTAAATGCTCCTGTTTTCTTTACCTGAAAAATAGAGGTGAGAGGAAGTTTCATAGGAAAACAAATCTCCCAATCTTTTTAATTTCTCTAGAACTTGATATATATGCCTGGAAATCTCCCCTGTAACATTTACAGACTGAACCAGGTTTTGTGTTATTTAAAACAGTGCAATTATTCTTATTCATATGAGGATTGCGCTATCAACTTTTCAACTCTAAGGCGTCACTGCTGCTATCATTATCTCTCTATGAAATAGAACAGTCAGAAAAGCCTGTTTTTTTTGGTAATCAGAAACCAGCATTTGATACCAAAGCAGGCAAAGGATTTTGAAATGTGAACCCCTTTCTGAATAAAAACATTTAATTTATAAATACAAATCCGAATATATGTACATAGTATTTTAAAATATAACACATTTTATTTCAGCATATTAACATTTCCATGATTTTGATTTTTCATTGTGTTTTCCTCAAAACAGACATTTTTCCCTAAATGAAACCCTGTGTACTCTCAAATGGTGTCCAAATTCACTCCAAAAGAAGGCAAAAGTACTAATGGACAGTTCATGTTACCTCCAAATTTATATGTCTTTTATGATATTTTACATAGTTCTGAATCCTTTCTTTTCTGCATAGCACTGAGCAGGGACTTTTGCCATTATAAGGTGTCTGCTCTAGATTTTCAAACTGACTCATGTGAGAATGTGCCAGATTCATGCAAAGGTATATGGATATTTTTCCACATTTGGATTTGAAAACCTAGATGTGAGCCTGTCACCAAGTACAAAGTAGGATTTAGAAAGGCGTAGAAAAAGGCATAGAATATATTGACTAGCAAGATACTAAATTTAAAATGAAATTAGGACTGTCCTAGCAATTATTCTCTTAGATTTATGTTTCCGAGAGTCCAATATCTGTCAAGACAGAAACAGTTCACTTAAAATATGTTATTCTTTTCAGAGCCACAGTTTTCTAAAGAACAAGAGCTCTTTGCTAGTATCAATATCACAAGAGTGAGACTCAACCTTATAGGCTGGAATGACGGTGGCTGTCCCATCACCTCTTTCACTCTGGAGTACCGGCCATTTGGGACAACAGTCTGGACAACTGCCCAGCGGACATCCCTTTCAAAGTCCTACATATTGTATGACCTCCAGGAAGCAACCTGGTATGAACTGCAAATGAGAGTATGCAACAGTGCTGGCTGTGCAGAAAAGCAAGCTAAATTTGCAACACTCAATTATGATGGCAGTAAGTATACCTTTGAATTTACTTGAGGAGCAGTTTTCATATAGTCTCCTGCATGACTGTATTACTCCTGTCTTTCTGTCTTTATTTTTTTCCACAAAATCCTTTCTTGACACTGCTAGCCACACTGAGAGAAGGACAAGTGTCTCAAAAATGTAAAATGTCTACAGATTTCATAACAGTAGGCAGCAAGGTCAAAAAGAGGAGTCATATCTTTGGCCTCACTAATGAAAAGATATCAAAGTCAGTCAACCATGAGACAAGTAAGCATAGGAAACCAGATTTAATTGATTGCAGCACTCAAAGAAGCATTTGCTAGTAGTTCATGCATCCCTTCCATGAAATTATTGTTGTGCTTACAGTTGGCTCCTGCAGCCTCTCACAGATGTGACTACCCTCACTGCTATTCCATGCAGTATCCTTGGGACACAAGTCATACCTCATTATGCGAGCAGCTAACTAGCTTGTCTTCTAGGAGAGCCTCTGGACTGCAACCTCCGAGGGCAAAGCAATGGCAATGCTATTATCCGTATTTACACATTTGGAAGAGTGAAACTAATGGCTGTGACAGATGGCTCTGTTATACCCAGCAATAAGATGTGAGGTTGAATAAGTTGTTGCATCCTGCCCTTCTGCCCATCCCTAGAAAAGCCAGAACGACAGGGCAACAGCAAATACGCTAATTTGTCAGCCACTCTAGCTCATATACTGTTTATTGAAACTGATGGTGGCACATGTGTTCTTCTGCCGACTCTACAAATGGGAAATGGCAGTATTTCTGGCAAGAAGGCAGCACAGATGGCTCCAGATGGCAATATCTTAAATTGCTCTAGCGTGAATTGCAAAAGCTTTTCTGGAGATATCCAGTGTAACATGTTGTTGTGTTGCCAGGGATATAGTGCTGTGTTGTACAATCAGTTGGCTACTTTTATACTGGTAAATAAAATAGGAGGACTAGTGAGCAAGTTAAGAAACTCAGGCTTGGGCTGTGAAATTGCCACCTTGTTGAGCCGCCACAGAGTCCTCACATTATTTCAGACACTCCAAAATTAAGGAAAAAAATTTGTCTTAACCATACAAAGGCCCATAGGAAATTAAGATCCAAATACTCATCGAGTATATGGAGTCAGTGTGGTCAGGTCTTGCCAGAGAGCCGTAATGCCTCAGAGTTGTCGCCAAACTTGTTTTGTTGAGCAGTGTAGACATTTTCAATAATAACTTGTCCAAATACTGTGATTTAACTTCTTTGCACTTTACTTTTAGCCCATCCTCATTCCATTCCAGTTTCTTTCTAAAGACAGAATTCAAATTTAAGTGATCCTTTTTTGACATTGACAATTATTGCTATGAAACATGGCTGGGGCAAGAGGTCTTAAGTCATATCTTAAAATGGGATGATGTGAAAATGCAGATCTAGAGGATTAAACTACTATTGATAATAGCAAAATCAAATATATTCTGATAATGAACTAATTTTAAATGTCATTAGACTGCTTTTTGGTTAGTTGGTGGTACATAACTTGATTTCACATAATGTGCTCTGCATGCCATTTGATTTTTGTGTGTTGCTGTATGGCATCTTTAAAAGTGAGAAAATGAAGCAGTAAAATTGTTTATACTATTAAATTTACTGGGCCACTGCTTCTGGTCAGCTAGAAAATTTCTCATCTATGTCATTGATGGTTTTGTTTGTCAAGCAACCTTTGCCAGAACTAGATTGTGCCTTAGAGACACAGCGTGTTCTCAAATACTGACTGCAAGACTGAGAGCAGAAAATAGGGCTGGAAAAACACATCAGTTTTCAGGTTTACTGAATCTGTTATATTTGATGGAGAACTAAAACCAAAAGCTGATTAATATTATCATCAGTG